CCTACGGTGAAAAAAGACAAGGTGAAATAAGAAAGAAGTCACTCTGGTGCTAATGCTAAAGCTGCTACGCCACATTATTTGATAAAGCTAACTAAAGTACGAATGGTTATTCCGGTCATCCAGCTTAAATTGTTACAATCGACTGCGCAAGACCTGTCAATCGAAAGGTTACGAAAAAATCATTTTCCTCTTTTGTCTATTTGGAAAAGAAGATTTAACCCTTATTATTCAGGCACAAGAAGTATATTTGCTGATATCAGGCATCTTAAGAATTCCAGTTTGAAGGGGCGATATGCAAGCAGAGGAGATTGATAGATGTGCTGGTATATCTAGACACAAAATACTTGTTGAATCGGACACTGTTCTGTTTGGTGGCTTTGGTCAACTTTGCATTAGGTTTTTTATCAGCTTGGATTTGGGTGCTATGTAAGCTTTTAAACGTCTATTTGGGTAGAAACACCGTAATGCGTTAGTTTTCAGGGGGCTTAGTGTTGGGACCATTTTTAATACTTATTTTGGTCTTAGTTAGTAGCACTGCCGGCAAAATAAGAGAGACCGGAATGAAAATTTCTGGCTTATTAACCATCGGCAGCTAGTTATAACCCACTCGTAACCTTTTCGATCAAAGACTAACGTTCTAACCATTGAGCCACGAGCTCGTTGTCTTGCCGGTTGAAGTCGGGAGATATTGACATCCGTTAAGTTCCTTTAGCAATCTGTGAACATTCATCAAGGAGCGTCACTTGCTCTTATTATGTTAGGGTTAAGGTCAGTGCTAGTGTTACGGAAGAGGTAAGAATAACGTCTAATGTTAAAGCAGTATAAAGTCATGGTTAGGATTTTGATGAGGGTAAAATCCACAGTCAAGGTCTCGCTTAAGTTTTGGGTGGATGTTAGCTTCAAGTTTAGGGTTAGAATGCAGAAATAGAAAGAGTTGGTTCAAGCCCACATTTATCAAGGGAGTTTACGATTTAAGTTCACCGATGATACCCATGTAAACATTCAGGAAGTCAGGTTAGGCGAACGAAAGTTTTCGACTAATTCATTATCAGGCAAATACAATAATATGAGGGAGGGTAGAGTTGACGAAAGTTTAAGCAACCAATCAGTAATAATTGCGATAGCAAGCATCCCTAGGCCACCCACGCCGCCAAGAGACGATGACAACTTGCGTCCTCACACCTCCCAACAAAACGCGAGACAAGTACGACGCGAAGACATGAACTAATTGTCGGACCTCTTCCCTTCCATTCCCCTCCTGCCCTTTCTTTCCCCTCTCTGGTCCCCAACTAAGACTAGAATCTGACCACTTTGATCCCATTACACCTCTCCCCCCTTTTCCCCTAATTGTTACTGATTGGTTGCTTAAACTTTCGTTATCTCTACCCTCCCTCATATTATTGTATTTGCCTGATGGTGAATTAATCGAAAGTGTCCGTTCGCCTAACTTGATTTCCTGAGTTTATTATGGTTGATTTGTTTCCGTTGCATTTACTTAAGTTTAATGTGCTGGAATTGGAAGAAGGTCGAGAGAATTAGCGAGTTGAATTTTTCGTAATTTTTCACAATACTGACAGCACAGATACAAGCTGTACCGCTGCATGGCGCAGTTTCGAAAATAACATCTCATAAGTGGGGTTCCAACGTTTTCGGGCATATGGATTCCAGGTAACTTGTCGTCATTTTAATTTCCGGGGAAATCGCTGCGCGCGAAATTTGACTGAATTCTTTGAAACAAACTATTGTTAGGTTCGGTCAGAAAGTTGTTATGAATATTTTAGCTGAACTGCATCAGCTACTACCATCAGTGGTATGCAAATATTTAATGACTTTTACACTGACGGCACCGATACTCACTGAAAGCCCAGCCGTCCACCCGTTGCTGTTATGGAAAGCAGTTCCGGTTGAAGCTTATTTGTCCAGACAGCGCGAAAGCAGTCACGTGAAGGCATGAACGAAGAGTAAACAGTGACTGGAATATGGGTGACTTAGAATACCAGATAAAGCAATTATCTGAAAGGCTAAGTGTCTTCAAGAACTGCCTTTATCGGTGCTCGTCACGGCCATGCACCAATGACGTAACTGCTCGTCTCCGCATGCAGCCGTGCGAGAAATGACGCAAAACTGCCAGACAGCTACCAGCTTCCGCTGGTGGGTAATATTGTCGAAAAAAATAGGGGAGACCGGAATCACCATTTCTGGCTTATGAACTGTCGGCAGCTAGTCCTAACCCATCCAAGTGGTGTAAAACTAGTGGTTCGAACTCGCGACTCTTTCGATAAGAGAGGTACGCTCTAACCATTGAGCCACGAGCTCGTTTTCTTGCCGGTTTACGTTGGGAGACATTGACACTCGTTTGGTTCCGTTAGCGGTTTATGAACGTTCATAAACGAGCGTCACTTTTACTATGTGTTAGGTTTAAGGTCAGAGG